TTGGAGTCCTGCCTGGTTACTCGTGAGCAACCACCTTTGCCATCTGACAGGAACTGTAGTCTCAAAACATCTGGAGGGCCGAGTTTGAGGAAGCCTGTTTTAAGGGCATATACTCAATTCGCATGATGAACTGGCCATGCCTGTGGTATTTCAGCTTCATGCCACATGAATTGAGAGAACACACACACGCCCCTACAAGTTGTGGGAGGGGGGAAATCAGTAGCAGGCATTCTGTCTTTTAGAGAACGTTCCCTGCCATGGAAGAGTCCACTATTTGAAAGTAAAAAAATTACTATATTGGGAGGGAGAGAACAGATTCAATATTCCTTCCTTTCAAGCAGTGGTAACGGTGTCCTCAAAAAACTATCTTTATTGGGGATTTGATAATGTGCAAATATATTCAAATTTAACTGAAGAACTGTTTAAATGGAAGTATAAATAAAAGTCTTTGATGGTAAGCCCTAGTCCCCAGTTAATTTTAAAAGCTCTTTGAAAGCAGCCAGAGGCCCTTGTATTTGAAGCAACACTGAAATTACATCAGCTTTTTGTAAAGTAAGCAATTTTGGAGTTTTCCAATCAGGCCACAGTAAGTTCTCCTGCTTTCTGACAGATCAGTTAAGACTAGACAGAGCTACATAACAAAGAAAGTTGTTTCAGTGAGTGCTCCATTTTATATACAATAACCCCAGTGCAGCAAGGAACAATCCTCATGCATATAAATTGATTTCCACACACCAGAAATCACCAATCTTGTGTATATGAAGATACAGCATTGGGTGGGGGTTGGGAACAGCTCCTTGAAGTTTCACAAACAGTACCTGTAAGAACTATGGAAAAACCTGAAAACATCAAATGGTTGTTTGCATTCTGCTGCACAAAGGAGCCCTCCACTCCCCACCCCTCCTCCATTATTATTAAATGTTATTTCCTGACCTTCACCAGCAGATTCCGCGGTGGATTCAATCAAGAAAGCTCCATCTCCCCAGCACACAAGGATAGTGAACTGATAAGGTCAGTGGGGCAAAGGTTTTGCAAGAATGTCCATTCATGCATCAATAGAGAAGTGCAAGCAAGCCTGGAAAAACCCCAGGTATCTTGACAATATTTTACCATGTCTTTGATACTTAAGGTTACATTGGTCTGGTTGGCATACTATGCTTAAGTTTTAGGGGCACTCATGCTTCATGTTCACACTGTCAAAGCACTGCATACTTTACATCTAAGCTCACGTGCACCTTTAATCTTCTCAATTTGGGAAAAGAAACTTAAAAATGCAAAGCCCTACAAACAAAGTTGAATGGAAAATTACTTATACTGTATCTTAACTCTAATTTACCGAGTTCATAGTTGAATTCTGTCTATTTAATATTGCATTTTGTAAACAGAACAGTAACTGTAGTTCAATTAGTACACACCAGCTAGCTATTTTGTTACGCTCAAAAGCAACCATACTAGTTACTGTATGACCTACAGGAAATGTGCTAACAACCACAAGAAACGGTAGCTACACTTGTCTCAAATGACCAGCTTTCTCCCAAGGCAAGGAAGTAATGGCTCATATAGCGACACAGGAGTCTTTATTAATCATTCAGCTCTTTAACTGCAAATTCTAACTTTCCTTCCTATGTTTGAAAATATATATAGTCTGAACTTGTTTCAGACTTAGCAAGAAAATGTTCAGAGATGAATGATTAATAAAGAATCCTATGTCCAGGTTGGATTATAGTAATGTGTTCAACACAGTGTTCAAAAATCCTATTGCTCTGGGAGCATTTTGCAACAGGAAATTTCATTAGTGCAAGCAGTATCTGAGCTCTGGGCACAGTACTGCGCCGAAGATTTCAGATTAAAACTGCACAGTGGAAGGAAAGGAGGACCCTTTCCTGCCTCCCTACTTCCAGTCACTCTCTAATGACTGAAGAAGAGACCTTCTTAAGAATATTAGGGGGCGGGCTGGGGAAGCAAATGAGGACTAGACCATGTGAAAAATGAACATAAGATTTTAGCTGCAGTTCATTCATTTTCAGCTTTGTATTATTGTTATTTAAAAAGCATGCCTAGACATTCTGTTGTTGCACCCATAGCCTAGGTTTAAGGTGCCATTTAGCTCCTAGCTTTCATATCTCAGTTTCTAGCAGAGGTTTAACAGTGTGTATCTTTCCTCTACGGTGCATTGATTTCAATGACAGGTGAATACCATGTTGCATACCACCCTATGACTGCTGTAGTATTCAGTGGTCTGTCAAAGGAAAAACAACTGTTCTGAGAGAGAGAGACTCAAACCAGACATATAACAGCAAAGAGCTTACCAACAAGTATAGCCTTGTCCAGTGGTAAGAGACATAGTTAATTAGTACTTTAAAATAGGTTTGTTGTCACTGTACACATATATAGTCCTTGCAGCTCAGGTATACCTACTGACAGGGAATTGCTCCGTAAGTGTCAAAGTCATAACAGCTTAAACAAAACCCTTACATTATACCCTTATAGCTTTGGTATAAGCTGTGGTGCTGTCTTTGCACTGGTATGCAGGTAAAATGGAACTCTTAGCTGCCTAACTCCTCCACACAGCCTATTATCATCTCAGTTCCCTTACAGATTTTCCATTATTGATGAAGGGGAAACAAGACAACCAACTCTTCAGCTCTCAAAGATGGTTTCAGGTGTCACCTGCTCAGAAAGCAGAGCTCAAAGTCTATAAAGAGACAGTGTGACATGCCCCTTTCTCAGAACACAAAGGATGAAAACATAAGAATGCATCCACATCATATATTTAAAGCACATTTATCCCAAAGATTTCTGAGAACTGTAACTTGTTGAAGGTGCTAGGAACTGTAGCTGTGTGAAAGGTAAACTACAGTGCCCAGGATTTTTTGTGCTGAAATGTGTGTTAAATATACAGTGCGCATGCAGCCTACCTTCCATCACTCTTGCCACTGGAAGTATTACTTCTTGGGACCTCTCTTGCCCTGCAGGCTCTCCTTCCAGCTGGAGAATCTCCACAAGCTCGTCAAGTATTTATCATTACAGTGGTACCTCGGGTTAAGTACTTAATTCATTCCGGAGGTTTGTTCTTAACCTGAAACTGTTCTTAACCTGAAGCACCACTTTAGCTAATGGGGCCTCCTGCTGCTGCCGCGCTGCCGGAGCACAATTTCTGTTCTCATCCTGAAGCAAAGTTCTTAACCTGAAGCACTATTTCTGGGTTAGTGGAGTTTGTAACCTGAAGCGTAGGTAACCTGAAGCGTATGTAACCCGAGGTACCACTGTATTATGATTGTTTATTGTATTTATATACTGCCCTATACCCAGAGGTCTCAGGGTCTCACAAGAGTGGCTGGGGAAACTCAGCCAGATGGGCAGGGTATAAATAATAAATTATTATTAATTATTAATAGTATTATAAAATCAAAATATAAAATCACAAAATACATAATCAAAAATAAAAACAACAACCCAATAACGAGGTTCTCAAAAGAGTTCTGCATTTGGCAAGCACTGAAAGATATAAGTAGGTACAACACTGCACAATCAATAACAGAAAATTAACTGCAGACTTCTCAGTTCTGAGCAATACTTAATTCTCCCTCAATCAAACGCACCACAAGAACACAATCAGCTGTAAGCCAGCTTCTCACTAGAAGCCCAATCTAATCTCCCCAATTTCCCACCATTAGGGTCAATGCCACCAGCTGTTTAAAAAACAATCATTACGCTCCTACAACACATGCTGCTAAGTCGTTCTTCCCACCTGCCTTTCACCGCACATACCAGTCAGACGCGCTCCCCTTGCTGCATTTCTCTGAACCCATCGCCACTCAACGGCTAATTCTAGTATTTTTTACAGCACTGTTCAAAACACTTCACTTGCATTCTCAGTATCTTTTTTTCCTCTTCCACAGCTGCCCTTTGAGGCCCGACCCAGCATTGCCTTTTCCCCTACATTCACAAGCTCCCGTGCACACAGGAAAATAGTTCTGCGCGCTTCCTTCCCCCACCCGCTTTCCTTTTCACAACCCGAACCAGGAGAAAGCAAGCAGCCTTTTTTCGCCTTGCCCCCCCCCCCCGCGCTAGGGAACAATTGTATTCAGCTGTTGGGTGAGTTGTGCCCGCACTTTGATCCCACGTAAGGGAAAGGTGACCATAGCAGATGCTCAGCCTTGCGGAGGGGGGGGGGGAGAGACGCCCCTGAAGCTGCTGCCTCAGGTGCCTTCGGGGCTCCCCCTTTGCCCCCCCAACTCCTCGCTCTCTTGACCTCGGGCGCCACCAGGAAGGCAGAAGCAGCGCCTCACACCCCGAAGCCCGTCCGCCCGCCGTCGGCCTCCCTCGGCTACGCGACGAGCGGCAGCTCCGCACGGAGAAGCCGGAGACTCTCTCTCTCTCGAGCCTGCCTCTCTCTCTCACCTTGGTGGTTGAACAGCCTCCATATCCGAGCGAAGAGGATTCCCATGCTCAGGCGGCGGGAGCTTCGGCTGCCCCCGGGGCAGCTCCGCACCGGCTCACTTCTTCCCCGCCCGGCCTCGGCCTCCCCCCGCGCTCAGTCCCTGGCCACAGCCCAGCTGCGAGGAGTGAGGAGGAGCGGAGCGGCAGCAGAAGCAGCAGGAAGGTGGTGGTAGTAGTAGTGGCGGCGGTGGCGGTGCAGGCCCCGCGCCTCGGAGACGGTCGCCCTCAGCAACGCCGCCGCCGCGCGCCCCTCGCCGCTCCTCGCGGACATTGCCGCCGCCCTCGCCGCAACTACTTCTCTCCTCTCCGCCCCTCCTTTTAGAGCTTCGCCTTTTTCCCCCCCCCCTAGGCCTCGCCGCTCTGAGGGGAACGGATGATGTTTGGACACCGCCGGACACCGTCCGAGGGAAACTGAGAGCGCGCCCCCGTCCGTCAGCCAGCGTCCGTGCGCGCGCGCTCCCGCTCCTACCGCAAAGCGCCGCTTTTCCAGCTGAGCAGGCAGGATGATGCGACGGCGCCAGGGGGCGGGGCGTAGCATAGAGCGGGCGGGGTTTGGAGAGTGAGGGCGGGGTCGACCCATGTGGGCTGGGAACGCTCGTCACCCTCCAAGGGCTTCGTCGAACGGTGGGAGTTCAAAGACTGCCTGCTCCGCTCCGCCCCCGCTTTGTGATTGGCTGAGAAGGGGTTCCACTCGTGCGAGGCGCCGGGCTGCGTTGCTGCTCTTTGGCTCGGAGGCAGTTGGGGAGATGGCGGGCGTAGGCACTAGCGCGTTGCCTTCTTTTCGTCCTCCGGAAGGGAGGGGTGGCTCGCTGGCTCTTCGGCTCCTTTAATGTTTCGAAACCTCAGTCAAAATGGCTCGAATAAATGAATAATAGGAATTGTATGGTGTTTCGGGATCTTTTTCTTCCGTTACTTTAGGGTTTGGCAAATTGCCCTCCTTATAAAGGCACCTCGTGGGCTAAAAGAATCGGCAGAGCTCGAAGGAGTTTGGGGTTTCTTGGAATATGGAGGCACAGCATTTGTCTCCAGTGTCCCTGCATAGATAGGCACATGCCTGGCTAGCTTAAGACACTGCATAGAGCCTCTATTCTCAACAACGGTGGCTCTCGCGGGTAGAGAATTATTTTTGCATATTTGTAAATGGAATCTCTGCTATTCTGTTGTTCTGCTCCTTTGGGCCTTTTGTCCTTCCCGTCTGTGCTGCTTTGTGGTTTATATTTCTTATGCGTCGTCGTTTTTCTTTTGGTCATGTCCACCACTCTTAACAAAATCTAATCTGAAATGGTGGGAGCTGGAATCAATGGAAGTTTCTCAGGGAATCAAGCCGGTAGCATCAAGTTTTGCTACTTTTCAAGACGGCTGCTCACCCAGGGGGTGGGCGACTTTGTGTGGGTTTTTTAATTTTGATTTTTAGTTGTTTCGTTTTTTATTAAGTGGGTTGTTGTTTTTTATACTGTAAGCCACCCTGTGATCATCAGCTGAAGGGCGGCATGTAAATTTAATAGGAAAATAAATAAATTCCATAGATTAATAATAAGTAATACTGTACCAACAGCCATGGCTCTAACATCAAGATACATGTAGCACCCAATGTGTGGAATGCACTTAGCTGTGTTAAAATGTTTTAAATACGTTTTTGTTTAAATTGTTTGTTTTACTACTTTGCTACTGTCCGCTCTGGGTTCCTCTGGGAGGAGGGAACAGAATAGATATGTAATAATTAAATAATAAGCAAACAAAAACCTCCAGCCTTTTCCCCACCCGTTTTGTATTAACATCCAGCCTGTTGAACAGTTCTGGCTACTTGAAAGCTTACTGACAAAAGTCAGTTGGTTGTAACAATGCTGCAGACCGTACTGTGTGTGGCTTTTTGGTGGTTTTTCCTCTCTAATGGATCAACACAGCTACCTACAATAGTTGTATCTCTGCAATGTCCACAATAGCTGGGTTAGCACTTTTCCTATTTATTTATTACATTTATATCTCACCTTTCTTCCAGAGAGCTCAGGATGACATTCATGCTTCTCCCTTTTTTTCCAATTTTATCCTCACAGCAAGACTGAGACTGAGAGATAGGGACCCAGGGCGAGGTCGCACCCAGTGAACTTTGTGACTCAGTGGGGATTTGTGAACCCTGGTCTTCCAAGTCCTCTTCCAGCACTACACCACACTGGTACCACCAGGCATACATAGCCTCCGGAGATATATTCCATGTTTCTTCGCTGACTGTTCGGTTTTCTTTCTTTTTTTCAGTAGCATACAAGTCAAAATGTACATATCTTAGTCTGTATATTTGCTTGATAAAATAAATGAATGTGCTCCTGCTTTCCTGCATCATGGCCCATGAGTACAAAAGCACTAGGATAATCTTAAAATTAATGTTAATATTTACAGTTAACCTGTATTCTAACACATCTCATGGGTAGTAAGTCTTTTACTTTAACTGTAATCCGTTATTCTTCCAGCTTAAATGTGATGTAGATGTGAAGTTCTGGAGCTCAACAGTAGAGCACATATTTTAAGAAGTTAAATAATTTCACATAGCTTACCCACAATTCAAAACAATTTTCCATTACAAAAATACACTAAAACAGCCATAAAAGCCAAAACAGCAGAGAGAGAGGGGGGAGAAGTACAAACAGCTATCAAGAACAATTTAATGGTAGCAATTAGAATCATGTCAAAAAGGAAGCAACCACTTAGGGATCAAAAGTGTTCCTAAAAAAAGGAAGGTTGTGACCATCCTACGGAAGGCCATTAGAATTTTTTTTTATTGCATTTTTATCCCACTCTTCAACCAAAAATAGGCTCCCAGAGCAATTTACAAGTGACAATGATAAGACAGCCCCTGCCTTTAGGCTTACAATCTAAAGAAACAGAAACTGCATTTCAATTTTTGCAATGTAAAAGAAATGGACATAATGAAGGGGAGGATGAACCGCCTTTGAAAAGCAGTTCCAGGGCTCTTGTCCCAGCTAAGCATATTTGGGGGGAAGTGGGGCACACAGGAGACAGTAAGCAGGCAGTTTCCTAAAGGACTTTAAAGCTCAAACATTGAATTTGGCCTGGCAACAAAATAGAAGCCAGCACAGTCGTTTCAAGTAAAGAGTCATGTGCATCTTATATGCAGCCCCCATTAGCCTGGCTTCAGTATTCTGGACCAGTTAAAGTACCCTTCAAAGGCAGCCCTATGTAGAGCACTCCACAGTGATCTAAGCATCATATCACTATATAGACCAATGATCTGTATAATTGACAGAGAGCCCAACTACGCTGTCACCTGGGCTGCAGTCCTATACAAATGTACTTAGGCATAAGTCCCACTGCATTTAATGGGACTTACTTTAGCCTCAATAGGATTAGACTCTTAAGTTTCATAAACAGTGGAGGAGAATTTTCAGGAAGGTCACAAACCTGGAGTTAGAAGGGGAGTCAGACATGCTGGTGCTCAAAATCCAATACAGTGGTACCTTGGTTGTCGAACGGCTTGGCTCCCAAACAAATCGGCTCCCGAACACCACAAACTTGGAAGTGTTCCAATTTGCAAACGTTTTTTGGAAGCTGAACTACCAGCGTGGCTTCTGCGGCTTCCGATTGAGTGCAGGAGGCTCCTGCAGCCAATCGGAAGCCGCGCCTTGATTTTTGAACAGTTCCGGGAATCAAACGCACTCCCGGAACGGATAAAGTTCGACAACCAAGGTACCGCTGTAGTGGTTACAGAACCACTGTCTGCATAGTGCTCATGCTCTTTTCTCCCAGGACCTTGAGCTGGAACTATGCAAGCAACGGGTGGACAATGGTGCAGCTTCCAGGCAGTCTCTAGGACAGTAGGCAGAAACTGCAAGAATCCATGCAGACTGTTCACCCTACCTGCCTGGGCAGAGCAGCTATCCAGCATTGAGAGTAATGAGAGGGGATGGGTTTGAATTGAAGCAAGATTTCAGTTTAGGATGGAAGTAGTGAAGGGAAGGCACTCCTGTCAAGATGCTGTTTAATATCCCCTTAATCTTGGTCCACAGATTTTTCTGTGGCTTTGGAATGCACACAACTTAGATGAGGATCACCTGGTACTCACTTGTCAAAAAAAACAGGTACTTTCTAAAAACACACACCACGCACTGGCCTCTTCGAAAGTAATGTAAGTGCAACAAAGACCTGTAACACACCCAAGATAAGTTATCTGACATCTCTCATTTGAATACTATTTTGAATACCATTTGTTTTCTCATTAAATTGCTGGAGAATGGTGGGATGGAATTCAGCATGGCACTAAAAGGGTGTTTTAAAAGATGTAGCACTGGTATGCTCACTCTGTGAAGTCAGTCAAGCTGGACTCTGAAGCACAATGCACAGTGCTCCCCCAGATCAGAACCCTCCTTTTCTGAAATAAATTTTATTTTTGCATTTTCTATTTTACATAAACAAATTCCCTTCCACAACCCTCCTTGACCACTTTTACCTGCTTGACATACGACTTTGAACTGTGATTATGGTTCTTGTTTGCCTGCATAGAGGATGGTGGTATGTGTAGATCAGTAGCTTTTGCATGCCTGGAATATAGCCTACTGTACAAAGGTCAGGGTCACATACATTGTTCCACCCATTTTGCCTCTGGAATGTGTAAGGTTGTCTGCAAGGGAGTGCAACCCGCAACTTAAGAAAAGGTTCCCAGCTTTAGAGCAGCGTGTAATTATGTATGATGATAAAGGAAATGCTCAAGCTCCACCTTTTAAAAATGTTTTCTGCTTGTTAGGTCTAACCACTGAGAGATAAGACATGTAGGCATAGAGTCTAGACGTTTTTGTTTGATTTATTGTAGAAAAAATGTTGTTAATGCAGTTGAATACATCTAAATTCCATAAAACAAATCCATAGAAATCAGGGTACTGTAAGCATGCAGTCTGCATTTTCTTCTGTTAGATGTTTTGGGCTCACAAAAATAACAACACTTTTGTTTTCCTTGAAAGCCACTAAAAGCAGAGAGATAGCAAAACATGCGACACTGTACACATTTGCATAGTATATTTTACCCAGCATGCCTGTAGAATGCTACACATACGGTATCTATAGAGTAAAAAGAAGAAGGGGCAAATCTGCAAAAAGGAAAACAACTAAATAGAAAATGTCTGTTATTTTGGTTTTGCAAAGGCATTTAATTCCAATACCCACAATGCACCCAAAATGTCTCCCACGTGTGGGATAGCCATAATGTCCAGAGAACTCAATGGGAAACAAGTTTGGGTCAGCGCTGGGATATTTTGTACAGATTAGTGTACTTTCCTCAAGGTCTCAGGCTGAGATACTAGATTATTCACATCACACTATTATGCAACAACAAATTCCCTTTCCGGATTCTTTGTGTACACGAGAAGGAGCTCAGGCACAAATTTAACTCTAGATGATACATTCCTTGCGGAGGCAGTTACAGACAACCTTCCACTCCCAACTCATTATGGACTCCCAAAGGGAGCATAATGAGTTCAATCCTTAGATGGTTTATACTTGGGAGTTTGTTTGTGCAAGTTCGAGTCTTTAAGCAATTGTTACATTTCAAAGGCAAAACTGTTATTACAAGTTGTGTGATATTTCAATGGGATATTTTACTCAATAGGCCGGGCCTGGGGATATAGATGCATTATGGGATATATTTTTCAGTCTTTCTTTGCAAAAGAAAAAGCGTGAAATTCAAGTGAACACAAAATTGGAGCTCACTTATAAATTGAAATTCTAGAACATGGGCGAAAGAAGTAAGGTCGGAGAACGATATATTTAAGAAAAACCCAGGCCTGTTGATTTTGAAAAGCTAATTCACACTGAGTTTATTGGATACACTTTCGTGGCAAATAAGGAAATTGCTTGGCTCTGAAATGAACTGGTGAAGAAGTCTAATGCAGTAAATCGAAATGCTGGAAAATGCAGATCAATTTCTTAATCTGGAACGAATGATTTACCCAACTCCCTCCCCCTCCCAAACCCCTACAATGGCAGATCCAGCAATGTAAATGTAAATTTGTGCTATTTCAAATGTGCTTTTTTCTAGCTCCTTCATATTTTTGGCAAAATATATTTTTCTGTAAGTTTATAATGTACAACATAGTGTCTTGAGACTTCGTTTGATTTTTTCTACTGCTAATACGAAATAAGTACAATAAATAATAGAGCTATTTTTTTTAAAAAAATATGTTAATAAGACATATGATGAATACTTGCGAGATCTCTGGGGATAGATCCTGAGATTACTTAGCACTGGGCATAATGTTTAGTTATAGAACTTTAGTCATAGAACATTTAGAGGAGCCATTTTCAGCAGTGAGACTTTAGTAGGTGATAGAAGCTGGAGGATCCAATCCCGCAAATTGCAATGCGCAGGCCATTGCTTGGAAATTCTAGTGATTCTTGTGCTCAAAAAGGCAAATCTATTCAGTAATACTAATGAGATGCAAATGTTTTCCACAGTAGCTTTCTTCTTTTCCACTACAGTTTAAAATACAATAGCTACTAAGTGCACCTAAAAAAGAATTATAAATGATGTTAACATTTGTTTTCCCCGTCACCTTGAAAATACTTCCTTTGGATCAAAGGAATTGATGTAAAGAGGAAGTTTTTCTATGCTAGTTATCTGGAAAAATATTCCACAAATTTCAGGAAAAAAATAGTGTCTTCGTTATTTATAACTAAATAAATTTCATCCTAGTTTGAGTCTACAGCCCTTAGTCCAAATCCATTCATTTAGGTATTTTCTACTCTTTTTCGACATTGTATGTTTCGGATCTGAAAGAATACGTAATACCAAGCCAGTTAGTTTGTTTGTGGTAACAAAAGGGAACAGTGTTGCTTTTGCCAAATTTGATAGTGGCTAGGCTAATATTGTTGCAATCCATCTAGCCACTAAAATCTGGAGTGGATCCTAGAATAAGTGTTTTGATGATTGTATGTCTATTGGTTTTTTAAAAATAAAAAATTAAGGTAATGATGAATCATGGGGGAGGAGGTGGAATCAATTGTAATAGCACTCCTTTTAACCAAGCAACCATGCAAATTAAATTAAATACAAATCTGCATGAATTGCATAATTTCCTTTTCAAATAAGTTTCCAACTTTCAATTCAGTGGTCAATGTATGAAATATATTGTGGATATAATTTTAGAAAAAGGGCTTTGCCTTATGTTTTATTAATTTTGGACTTTTAAAGAATCGTGAGCATCATGGAGTCCACATAGAAACCATTGCAAAACTTTAGCACAACAAAACAATGGAAACTTATGGGCCTTGAATACCCCAATCAAAAACAAGCTTTTAAAGAAAGAGTACTTAGATT